CTATGATCACCAAGGAAAATAAAACACACTGCATTACAAGACACTGCAACTGCAAGGCCAAGTGTGTGCCTCTAGTCTTCACCATGCAAGCTGGTACAGATGGAACACCAGCACATCAACTCAAGCAAAAGCCAAGAAGTGAAACAGTATGGGGAGGGGAGGTCATAAAGGCCTAGTTCCATTCATCAGAGCTGGCTCAGCAAAACATTAGTCATGGCAAGCCGTACCTAGGCCAGCATCAGAAAGGTGCAAGAACCAACCATAGCTACACCTCAGAGGCTCAAAACCATTTCTAAATATAGCCTCCACTTTATGTTTGCAGGGGCTGTAAATCAGAGAAAACAACTTTTTTCCATCTCCAATAAAATATTTGCACCCAAAGCAAAATCAGCCAATTTTTGGCTTTCTACCAGTTTTGCTTGGGCATAAAATTTTCTGACACTTCACCAGAAATGTCAGCATTAGTATAAGGCAGCTTTAAACAGGGAAATGATTTTGTGAACTGTGGATAACCCCTTCAACCCCAACAGGAAAAGGGAGAAAAACACATACCTGAGACCCATTTTTTTCAGTTATTAGTATAAATGGGACAAATTATTTTTCTTAGTGGCCAAATCCTTCCTCATAGGAAGTGTCAGTCTTTGAATTCAGTGAGGGGAGAGAGGGTCATGTCTGTTTTACTGATGTAACCCCAACACTCAGCACAGATCCTCCAGTGGAGAAGGCTTTCAATGAATAGTTAAAAAGGAGGGAGAAGAGGAAGGAAAAGGAGGAAGACACATAGAGAGAGGGAATAAGGAAGGAAAGGGGTGGAGAGAATAGGAGAAAAGTTCAGGTAGAGATCATGTACCCTCTCCTTTTTTGTGTGTCTTCACTTCTCTGTGCTTTCAAGAATCCAGCTTGATAGAAAACCAATCATATTTTGCTTACGGCGTCCTGTCTGCAGCTGGATGTGTCATCCAGTGCAATCAGCTCAGCCGCCCAGGTACAGCCTACCAGCAGCTGCCCTTGGGGAGGAAGGAAAGAGTAGAAGGATGAGGTAAAGCTAACAGAAGTTCCTTTCTTCAATGGTCATTCACTCAACCACAGTCGAGAGCGTGACTGCTATCTCCAGGGTATGACACCACACACCCCGTGGAGCTAGACTTCCATCCTGCAGGCTTGGGAAAGACTTGGGCAAAGACAGAACACCTGAGCTGGCCCTGGAGGGGCAGGATTTATCCGGGAAGAACCAGGGGTGAGGAGTGAATCTCAGAATGAAGGCAGCACAGCAGGTAAATATTTTCCCAAAATGCTCATGGAATATACCGTAGGACGACCATATTTTGGAAACTGCTAATTGAAACAAATTGCATAGGTTTCATCACTACAGGCATTCTCGGAGCTTTTACTAAGCAACTGGAGCAGAAGTGGTGAAAGATTCAATTTGCAAATCAGAAAGAATGGACTTCTGGGAGGAAAAGGCCCCTTACCATTAGCTGTATTAACTTGAGCAAAATATTCAACTTTTATGAAATGCAGTTTCCTCTTCATTCATATGAAAGAAATGACAGTGCCAATATCATATAGTTGTTATGAAGCATGAATGTTACATTAAAAAAATACGATCAGTTCAGCACTGACCGTGAGTTTCTGTTCAATTGTATCAGTGCTGCTTCTATTCCTTTTGTTTACATTTTTTAACAACCAGCATCATGAATATAAATAAGAAGAATATTTACAGAGTTCCTTAAACAATTTGAGCCATTCCCATCAGCTACTCTTTGGTAATGCCACGACCATACACAACACCCAGCCCAGCACACAGTGGGTGCTCACTCTGTGTTTTTGGAGGGAACAAGGCAAAGAAATGACTCTACAGAGAGAAAACTGCAGGACAGTCAGAGGATGCTCGAGGCAAGGTGTTTTTTATTATTTCTTTGGGCAATTGGCTTCTGAGGTCTGGAAGGAGTGACTTCATCTTTCGCTAGGAGAATGAGAGATTGAGAGCACAGTGTTCAGCTTGAAGGAGGCATCACAAAGAGTTTATTTTGGTGGAAGTGTTTGAAGTGACTAACAATGAGCTCATGCCTGCTGCCCGGCACCAGCCACCAGCCTGGGCCTGCCTGCAGGGAGATCCACATGGCCCATCACCAACAGCCCCCATGAGATATGCAATGCCCACATGCAAGGAGGCTGCAGGGATGACTCCTGTTTCTCCATGAGGGGACACTGAGGCCCACACGAGGAAGCAGCCGACCCAGGAACCAAAGTGAGCTGGTGGCTGGGAAAGCTGGAGAGAGGCCCAAGCCTACTTGGTTGATTGTCTGGCAGGCTTTGGAACTGAATCCCAAAGGATCATTTTCTTTTTTTACTCAATTCCTGCATACATTTATCGAGATAACCTCATCTGTCATAAGTCACACACTAATTTCACAAACAGTTCCTAGAAATGAGCAAGTTACACAGAAACCTTCCCCCACTGAGGGCAGTGCATGCATCCTGTAAAACCTCCCCCACGGGTCTACATGTAAAAAATCAAGTTTACTAGCCAAAGACCTGCACAGGTATAGAACACTACAACTACGTGTCACCAAACCCAGCAGTGAACATCCGTATCTGGGGTCTACAAAGAGTTTACAAAGAAAACGGGTTGACCTAAAAACAAAAGCCATCCAACCAAAAATATATATATATCCTGTGGAGTCCACAGCACAAAAAAAAAGCCCTGAGAGTTAAGTTTTCAAACTTTACACTGGGAGGTGGGCTCATGCACACTGCAGACCACAGACTTTTACAGGAAAACAGACAGTATTTTTTCAAAAACACATGATTTATGTATACACATAGGTACATTCACACACACACACTTACACAAATGCACACAAGCATATCTCAACTGTAAGCCATAGAAAAAAGTACATGGTCCAGAGATTCTGTATGAATTCAACTGTTAGATTTCATTTTTTTTTCACTTGGTAAACCTGGGAAGTGGTTGGAAAAGAAAGCATAGTTGACTGGAAACTTGTCAAAACTCAAGAGTGCTTCCAGGATTCTACAGACTTGTTTGTTTCCAGGAGGGCAGGGCTGCCCAATTCTTTCTAAACTAAAAATATAACTAGAGATTATTTATTGTGATTGCACATCTTATCCATCATGCTCATTTGCAGCAACTGGTTAAGTAAAAATGGAATGATCTAAACCTTGATTTAACCCTGATGGTTCATCCAGCTAGAACTGCAAGTACATTTTACCAAATCCAATTAGTATGTGCTGCCCTTGACCACAGAACCACAGGTTACACCAAATCCCCCCAGCACCCTACCCTGCACCCTATCCTCTTAGAGTCTTACTTGACATTCATTTACCATAAAACTGGAAACAAGTAACCACCACCCAATGAAGTTCCTGGCACATTAGAAAGCCTAGCAGAGACTGGACGAAAACCTGAAGTTCCAGGTGGGGAGTTGGTGGGGTGAGTGCAAAAGTGGACCCTGGTCTCAAGGGCTTTAATATCAATAGGTACTGATTAGGGGCAGCAAAGAGAAGGCAAAGGGAGAAAGAAAGAAAGAAAGAAACAAACAAACAAACAAATAAGCAGGCAGAGAAAAGCTTCAAGCCTCACAGAATGAGCAGATCCAAAACTTGGAGGAAAAGTTTGGACACCACCTGGCCATCCTCCCCCTCCCACCACTATAATGACTGTGTTTCTGCATGCAGGTGCACCAGGGTTGGTCTGTTTCAGAAAGTGAATTCACAGTCATTAGGTTTTCAGTGAGAGCAGCCTTGGTGTGGGGGGGCATCCTTTTAGTCTCTGATTAGACTTCTATTGGGGGAACTTTTGGGGCTTCTCCCAGTGTAAGTTCAGGCAGTTCCTCAGGGAACCTTGGTTTGGTGTATGGGGACAACAGGGAAGTGACCAGGAGCCACTGGGGTTAGGAAATGGCAATGGGACAGAGTTGGAATGTTGAGCAGGAGGCCCTGTTTTGAAGTCGTTTGCTGTTGGGGTAGATGCACTGGTCTGACGGCTTAGGGGATCAGACAGAAAAAAGGGTGCAAATCCTGTAAACGGAGAAGAAAATAATATAGCTTGCCTCTCAAAAGAGCAAGTATATTGATGACCAATGCAATTTCAGACTTTTTCTTTTTGGAGTCCAGATGGCCCAAAGTCATGCAATGAGACCACCCTTAGTAGACTCATTGAATGCTAAAGAATTCACTACACATTGCTATGTACTATTATGAAGAGAAGTCTTCCTTAACACAGGGAAGAAAAAGCACTGGCTTGGGCCTCCTACACAAGAAGACTCAAACCTGAAATGTATTTTCAAACAAAATGTACATTTCACTTCTTAATATCGGGGTATACACAGTCAACAGTGGATCTAGTTTACACCTGGTTCCATATGCTAGGCCCTAGGTAATTAAAGTATGTCTTATGCCTAATAAAAAATGAAGTTAAAAAGTTAAAACCAAAACAATGACAGGAAACAACATGTGTGTACAATATGTTACTAACACACTGATAATTTTCAAAAGTCACTTTAGAAAGAAAGAGTATTATAAATCTTTCAAAACACAGTGATTTATTAACCAAAAAGTCTGAATGGTTTGTGCTATTAAATTTAACTTTTAAGTTGTTGTGTCACAAGGAGATCTTTTGTTCCCCTAGATTAAATTTAGCAACTTGCATTTTGTTTTTCCACAACCCCATGTTGTATGCAGTCAACTTTCTGGGCTGTTCAGGAGAAATGCATTTGGGAGTTATCATGAGTTTACAAGCCAGGAATAGAGTTTATCAAATAATCCAGCAGTGATTTATTTCCATCTTCTTCTTTGCCTTTTCCTACCTATACAGCTTTCTCATAAAATAAACCTTCCCTAGGCATGGGATGAAATGGAGGGAAAAAATGTGGTGGCCAGAGGAAAACCATTTCAGAAATGTGTTTGTTAAACAAGTGCAAGCAATAAATTGAGCTTAGAAGGGAAAGGCACTTAGAAGAAAAACTGAAAGTACTGACCTGAGAGTCAAGCTGATTGGAGCAAGGGTGAAAGCAGCAATGTGGAGGATAAGCAGAAAGGAAAAGGGATAGCAAAAGAGAATAAAAGGAAGGAAACACATTAGTTTTAAACATACAGCCAGCAGATGTTATATTAGCAGGTTTTATAACCAAGTGAAGGACAATAAAGCAACATTTATCTGATATTACCTCCTCCCACCCCAGAAAAACCCCGGGCATACACTGTGACCTGTTTTATTAAATAGCATACATAAGGAAACCAGTATCTGCTCTCATGCGCATCATCCCAACAGGCACTGATGTGAACCAGAGGTACAGTGCTCCCACAGCACAGGCCCTTTCCTGGAGGAATAGAGAGAAAGTCCCTATCTGTGAGCATATAAAAATTTTATTATTTAATAAACTGAAATGGAAATTACTGAGGTATTAGACCTGGCAGTTAGTGCACATGTCAAGAAAATTGTTATTTGATCCAGTGAGCTGATGCTTATATCCTATGAGATATATTTTTTTCATCCCTGAAAACTAAAAGGAGCTGAGCAATTTGGCTTGAGGTTCAAAGATTTCCATTTCAGATGCTCACAGAGCACTGCACCTAGCAATGATCAAAGATCTCATGAGGAACGCTTTGGTGCAGGGCCACCTGCCCATCACTCTCCCAAGTGAGGCGGGGTAACTTCCAAAGCTGCGAGTAATTTTTTTCAGTTGTTACAGTGAGGTTCCGACTTCATTGCTGAAAATATCCAGATGCCTGATAACTTATTTGTACAAAAATACCTAACATGCCCTTCTAATCAGTCAAAACAGTAGTCTCTAAAGTCAAGCAAAAAATAAAATAAGAAAAAAAAAAGTGATCATCTCCCAGGCGACCACAAAGTGGACATTGATTTTATTCATCTTTAAAATGCCCTTTGCAAAAACAAACCGGATAAACTAATACTTTAATCCACTACTTTCTCAGTGGGATTCCACCATCATCTCATGCTGTGGAGAAATACTTTTAAGCACTTTACACCAGAGAGGGAAACACAACAAGACAATCCCTCAGGATAAAGCTTAAACTAGAACGACTCAAATGGAAACAGGCTGATGATAATGACCAAAAAAAAAATCAAAGAGAAATTTAAAAATTAAACATATAGTGCAAGTGTCAATTTGATAATCCCTCATATCTGAAATCTCCTTGCAAAGAGTTTGGTGAACATAAATGCACAACTGATGAAAAATGAGTTAGGTCAGCATGGTCATTGTGGGGACTTTGGCAACACTGGCCCCAGCTGCTGTTTTAAATCCTTTTGGATAGGAAGCAATCAAACTGAGGTTCATGGCCAAGCTTCAGGGATTCCTACACTGCAATAACCAGCAAGCATACATTTCAGGGAAAGCTGCCTCTTTTGAGGGTTCCCAGTTTGCATCAAATTCTCAGAGGTGTCCATGGTGTATATGATCTTCCCCAAAGGTGGCCAGTGATACTGTGTTCCCACCTGCCACTCGTTTGAGAGAAATCCCTTCAAATATATCAACAACCCCAAAGTGAGAATTGTTCAGTAAGGAGCGTAAATAGCTAAACAAATAGAAAAGGTATCGGGTTTATTTCATGTACCAGGAAACTTATAGAATGTATTATCATTCTTAAAAATAATAAATCTTAAGTTTACATTTTGAAAAGAGTTCTGAAAGGCATCAAGGAAATTATGTCACAGGTTATGGGAGTACATCAGAAGAAAAAATGATAAGCCTCTCTCCCAACCCTAGATAAGGCTCTTTTAGGCATCTACAATAATTTCTTAACCTCTGAATGTATGGTGGTGTTAGTACTTGACCCAGTGGATTAAGTGGTACCTTGTTTACCATTCTGATGCTATGTCTTAGGTGCAGACCCACTGGGGACCCCCCCTTCCCCCACAGCTGGGGAGGGATGCGATTGAGATGTCTATTTGTGCATTCTCCATCTTCTAGACAAACACCAATGAAACCCTTACTGTACTCAAGATAATTATATGGAAGGTCACCTGACTGACTGCTCCCTGTGGGTTGGAAGCAAGAAAGCCAGTGGCAGCAAGTCTTGTTTGACAGACTCGATTAACCTCACGCTTTCCCTAAGGCACCTAAGGATTAATTCTGAAGCTCTAAATAAAACCCAGAGGCTTTGATGGCACTGACACAGCAACACCACATATTTCACTGCGTCAAAGGTTTAATTAGCTACTTTGTTGTGAAGCAAATGTGGTATCTGACTTTGGCGATAGAATAAAGACCCCAGGCTGACTTGGGTCAACTCCTAGGGGCTTGCTCAAAATCCCACCATCCACCTTATGGCAAATTCCCCTGAAACAGCCTACAGTCCAGACAAGACACCCTTGACTGGGCCATCAGCATCAAGTACAAGAGCTGATAGGCAGGGCTGCACATGGGGACCACACTGGAGCAATATGCACTTTAAGATGCAAAATCTTTAATGGTTGCTGAAAAACATCATTCACGTGGAACTGAAGGGGAAGATGCATCGTGTAAATGCCAGCCATGTGTTCCTTGGACCACATCCATGGTTGAGAAATGCAAACACGGGGAGATGAACAGACAAGGCCAACATGAAGTGCCCGGTTAGAGAGAAGCAGGCCAGAATCCTGGATCCCCAGTGCTACCCTTAACCCGGTGCCTCTTATTGTGTACCACTGAAGTTCTGGAATATTTTAGAACACTAACTGTGTTAGAAAGAGGTCTTTTCAATCTGGTAGGTCACATGACAAGCCAGATACCACAAAATTTATTTCAAGTTCAATATTTTGGTTTTCAAAATCAAAAACTTCATTGCAAACACTTCTCCACAGCGGTAACATGGAGATACAGGTCACATTGCTAAGAGATCTTTAGCTCCCAGCACTATGGGGTAGGACTTTTGTAGTTGAAGCCAGCAACTGGAGGTACTGACCAGTTTGCAAAAGGCTGCCCTGCCGCTCCAGGCAGACATTTTGGTCGGAATACACACACATGGCCCAGCAGGCAATGTTTCAGAAAGGCAGACCAAGGCTGGTCCTCCTGTTCCCAAGAAACTTCCCCTCTGGATCTCTACCCCCACCTCCTGAGGGGCCTGGCTGGGGCTGGGGCTCAGACATTTCCCAGACTATGTTCTGCTGTTGGACCCAAGACACAGGCAGGCAGAGACCTGGGACAGAGTCAAGTCCCACCACACGTTTTATGAATTACAGTGCCTGGGAGGCATCAGCTTTAAGGAGAGGCAAAGGCAGAGATAAAGAAAATGTGCAGAAAGTACATAAAGATAAATGCCTGTAAAATCACTGCTGCTTTAATGCATTCCATATTGAAGAAATAAAACTGTGAATATTCTTGATGATTTAATAGCAACAGTGTCCAGCCAAGACCTGTTTGTCCAACTATACAATTAAGCTATTTATATGTAAATGTTTATAGTAGCTGATCCTGATTTTCACTCACAGTTGTGGGGAGCTGGTGCAGCACAGAAAATGCCTTCTAAACGTTGGACCATCACTTTCCCTCGTGAAAGAAAAGGCAGATAGCTCGTGGCCCAGCCACAATGCCTGCTCGGACAGTGCTCCCTACTGCCCGTGTGTCTTTAGTGGTATTGAATTGGCTTCTCCCTTCTGGACACTGGTGGAAGGGACTACTCTCAGTGGCACACCTGTCAGACCTGGGTTCAAATTCTGACTTTGATTCTTATGAGTTCTGCAACCTTGAGGAAGTTGTTTAATCTCTGTAAGTCATGGTTTCTCAGCTATAACATGGTGACATGATTTCTATGTTGTGGGTGAGACGAAAAGGTATAAAAAGTATTGCAGTTCAAGGGCTTAGCAGATCAGTAGGCATACTGTGCACATAAGACATATATAATTTTTGATTATTAATGTAATTGCAATTATCAATATTATCAGTATTATTATCTAGGGCATCAGTAACGGAGCCCACTGCTTTGAGAGCAGTGGGTTAGGAGTTAGCGAGCCTACATTTTAGTTTCACATCTTTCTGACCATAGAATCAATCTCCAGACGGTCATTCATCTTTTCAAGGTCTCAATTTTCTCTCTAATAAAACAGACATGATTGTAAGTTACATGTAAACTTTTGATCTTGAAATGTAATTCCCAAATAGTTATAAAGATATGTTTGAAATCAACAGATTTTTGAAGCCATGTGTTTTTTGGATTTTCCCAGCTTTTGAAGAACCAATAGACTGGCAGAACATTCCTATATTTTAAAATTAAAACAAAGCCCTCAAGGATTTTCATTTGTATAATTACTGCAAGAGAAAAAGAAAAGATATCCTGGACTTAACTGCTATAAGAGCTCACAGCAAAATAAAATCAGATTATCATCAAACTAATGCTAAGAATATTTTAAATAGTCTATTGGTTCATATTTGGATATAATGCTATATTTGAAAATGTTGCCGAAACTGTATTATGAATGAACCCATACATTTAACATAGTCATTAATACTGAGCGTTTGTCCTCATGTTCAACTGTTGCTAATGATACAAATGTCCCACCTTACAGGGGACTTGCAAAGCACGATATATTTTAACGGGTCATTAGAGATTCATTTTTTTGTTTTCTTTTGTACTTTTTGGAGATTCATTTCTAACAAGATTCAAGTCCACAAAACTAGCTTATATAAAGAGAAGCAAAATTTGAACCCACGTCTTTCTGTCCCTAAAGCTCATTAGCTTTCTCCAAGACTACAGAGAGCTGAGCTACTTTGCATACATCTTGATGTCCGTTAGGGCCTCACAAGTGTCTCGATCAGAGCTGGCAAACATTCACTGATTTATTCAAAATCTGCTGATCTCTTCCATATGGAATGAAACTAGAAAAGACAAATTCTGCCTTATTGTTGAACCAATAGGAATTCCACAGAGGTTATGAAGTTACAAAAAATTGTTCACAAAGTTCTCTCCTGATATGAACAATAGGAAAAGCAATGAGAGCAAGCTTATTTTTAGAGTCCATGTTGTATAAAAATATAATATAGGTATGATTGATCTGAAAATCTAAGTATTCTGGAATCTGTTTTGCAACAAAATTTGCTATCACAAAGGCCCTATTCAAGCATATTTATTTACCAAGTGCTACGAGTTCCTCTTAAAAGATAAATCTCACGATGTAATAAAACATACCCAGAAGACATGAGTTCCTTCTACCTTCCCCTTCCTTGAATGAGGAATTCCCAATTATATTCTTCCATGTTCTTTCACCCAAGACAGGATTAAACCACCAATGTTTATCTGTGATGAGAAAGAACTACCATTTCAAAATTTCCAAGTCACAGTTTTTTGTACTTTGCTGGCAAAAATGCTAGATAGTGGACATCACTCAAGAAAAGTTGGCCAAAGTTGTATTAAACACTGAAGAGGTACACAATTCCTCAAGCGATAAGCCAAGTGCTTTCTTAGTATCCTACAGGAAGACAACCCCAGCCCTTACCAGGCCAGATTAGTCATACATGACTTGTTTCCAGCTTGTAACACAAACGTGTATTTCATATCGACCAGTACCAAGAAGCGCCACCAAGCAATGAGCATTCGCCAGTGACAATTCCCACGGCTGTAGAACTAACCTCTCAAGTTCTGCAATCTTCTTGTCCTTATCATTTTTTTCATTCTCCACCTCCTTGAGGATCTCCAGCAACCGATCAACCTCAGCTTGGGCCTTGCCACACTCGTCACGGTAGTAAGAGGCCTCTTTATCTAGCTGCTTTAGCCGGTCTGCAAACTCGGGATTCATCCTGGAGTCATCTTCAATATTATGTGCCTTTAACATTACATTTTTAAAGAATTTAGTTCAGACAATGATTCAGAACGATAGAAAATACAGTCACCAATGAATGGCCCAGCAATTAACTCAGGAGAGAAAATGACCACCAAGAATTATGGGTATACTGTTAGCGGGAAGGCAGAGTGGAAGAATCACACAGTTCAGCTATCTTGGAAAATGTTGATTTTACGTTGCATGTCAGGTTCCCAGAGAAGCTTCTTTTAGTATTGATATTTTGTTTCATTAAATGTTTTGGATTTTGTTCCCATCAAAACATGGGGGATAGGAGGACTACATACTAGATACTAGGACTAGACACTAGGAAATAGATATCCCAGGTCACTTGCGAAGCAGAACGAAGACAATTCCTCATAGCTAAGTGGGTGATTCATCCTGAATGCTTCCATTTCCAATGCAGAGAAATGGAAACAATATAATACTACATTCCTTTCCAAAAATCATCCCTGACACAGAATGAGCCAGGTACTAAGAGACTGGCTGACTGGTTCCCTGAACACTTCACCCTACTGAGAAATTTCCACACAAGATGCAGCTGGAAACGAAGACGCAGAAGTGAGGAAGGCCTTTCCAGCTAACAGTCACACCCATAAATCCTTGTTCTTTGCAGTAAATTTAACCTAAACCAGGAGGAGGATGAGCTAGTTCATGAACAAGCACACAGACGAGAAACTGCAAACACATGCATGGGTGGGTGGCAGCTTTACACACGAGAACAGACACAGGCAACAACACAGCAACGACACTGCAGAATAATTTGCAGCCAAAGTAACTGTGGTTTGTGTGTGTGTATGTGTGTGTGTTATGGCTTTTTCTTTTTTTCAAAATAAACTTTTGGCTGAAATATTCCCAGACAGATGGAAATAACGATGCACTGCAATGTTGTGCCTACCCCTTGCTTCCCATTATTCCTAATTGACTTCTTCAAAGAGCAGGCGGGGAGAGAACAAGTCATTTAACAACGGTACACATTCAACACAGATAGTTCAGAGAAGTCCTGAATGGATGTATCTCCCAAATCCACGTGTGAAATGATACAGCAAGTTTTTAGGACTCGAGTTGTTCTGCTGTCTTGCTATGCAGAGCAGATGTTCACTGAGTTTTTGTACAGTTTTTAAGTTCAGGAAAAAACAAGGCAAGCAAGCTACAGCTAGTGGGTTGGGGGACCAAATGAATCATGCATGATTAGAACAATTAATGCTAGTACGACTGGTAGAAGGTTGACAGTCTTTGCAATGATTTAGTAGAAAAAAACTAAAAAATTAGTATAAATAAAATGTTTTACTTATGACAAAATAATTACTTTGAAAATAATATTTTTGCATGTAACATATTATTTAAGCATGAGGATAAAAAGGGAATAATTTGCTTTCATGTTCTTTAATCTAAGATTTATTTATTTAAGAAATAAACACAACTATGCAAAACAACTTGGAAAAAACATATGACTTCAACATATGATCAAGTACTGGTTACTCCCTTTTACCAATGTTTCTCATAAAACCTTTATTTTTATTTACTTAGTATGCATCCTGGGTCTGATTATAATAGATTATTGAGCTTTTTCAGCTTTAAAATAATCTGAAAGACAACCCTGAGTAAATATGCCTTTAGGAATTTATTATTCTAATAATTTAATTTTAAACTGAAGTATTGAATATTTAACTTTTCTAATCTCCATTCTAAAATGTAGAGCAGCTCTTCCAATTTAACATGAAGTAACTACTCCAGATCTCTACTTCCAGTTGTGATAAAAATCATCGCATTAGTTTTCTGACAGAAAAGTATCTAAAATATATTTTAAAACAACTAAGAAAAAAACCTTCACATTAACCTCTCTTCTACCCTTCTACTATGTTATCATTATTACTCAACAGTTAAAAACTTTCATGACAGTTGTCGAACTATCCAGCCAACGACATTAAGATCTTTAAAAAAAAAAAAAAGAAATAATGAACTAAGTAATGAGCGCTAGAAACATAGAAAGAAAATATATTCTGATTGCCTATTTCTGTCTAGAGTTAAAATTCCTTTCCTAATTGTGATTTTTAAAGGTTCATGAAGAGCTAGCAGTTAGCTGCTGTAGTTTATTTTGGTTGTTTCTATTCTTACAACTATTATTACCATGATTATTTTTAATAAGCGAATACAAGTTTATTGGTTGTGAGATCTAGATCCTAAATCCAGCACTGTGTCTTATGTCTACAGGCAAATGAATTCATCTCTCTAAGGACAGTAAAAGCAACAGCATGACCAGCATGGGGAGGATATTATTCAATTACGTTTTATTATGACTATTATTTTATAATATGTATTCCTGAAATGGGATTTGTTATACAGTCAAGTCAATAGGTTCAATCAATTTTCATCAACAAGATCCAACATAGTCCTTAGAGAAGGTTCCCTGATAGATTTACAGAGAAAGGAGCCTGTTAGGGATAGGTATGCAAGCATATTTTTTATTTTGGATCCCTGATGAAAAGAAAAGAATCCAAGGCCAATTTTCAACCCCGGTGAAATTAGCTGGGTTCTTAGCCTTTACAATCCAATAAGTTAATATGATTAAAGAACTCAAAGGATGTTCAGCAATACAGAAAGCTTAGGGAAAAAACATGCCTGAATCTAGACTATACCAAGTTTATAATTGCATTGGTGTCTGTTAGATTAATATATTATGTGCATGTTAATGATTTCTCTTTAAATAAACAGACAATCTCAAGAATATTTATCTATGAGTTAAATATTTCTGTATCATTCAATACCTACTGATTTCAAGTAAAAAGCATTTATGTGAAACTACCACCAATCTTGGTGCCAAAACTGTTGGAGGGCAATAAAGGTGTACATATATATCATTTTTAAACGTTTAAGTCAATAAGAAGTTTTAAGAGTCTTAGAAAGATGGAAAAGTAACAGCTGCTTCTTGGGTTATTACCAAGGTCCATGTGAAGACTCTGAATTTCATCTAACTGGAAAGGCTGCGAAGTTTCCAATCCATCTGAGTATTGGAGGTAAAAGTCTCCACAACATTTACAAAAGGTATTGTAGATTATCAGCTCTACTCAGCCTGAAGCACAGCTTCTAGGATGGATGGAAATTTTTAGTCAGTAGAGCAAGAGACACTGATCTGAGACATGGGAGTGATACTTTGTTCAAAATTCTACAGTCTGAACCTTTCCTACAAAGGAAGCTAAGGAAGTACTTTATTTGTAGTTAAGCAATTCTCTTGCCTTTTCAAATTCTAACATGGGTTTTCTTTGTTCTGGATTGGCAGTTCCTGAAGAGGATCAAAGTAAGTAACAGATTTAGTTTAATATAGACCCTACAGGAAGAAAAACAGATTTGAATAAATCACGATCAACATATTCTTACCATGGCATCATTCGTAATCATTCAAGATTTACATTGAAAATGCATGGTAACTATTTCCCCTTAAGGATTTGTTGGTTTGAAACTAGCTCCCCCTCAAGATCAGCAAGAGCCTGAGGACTGTATTGTTCCAATGCACATCATCTTAGTCCTCCCATCTTCACTTGGAAGGAATCTAACTGTTGAAAATACAGACTGGTGTGGAATTTCTTTTAATGGTTTCAGAACTTATTTATTAGGAATGTGACCAAGAGCACTGTCACTTTCAAGAACATCCACGGATCATTAAAATCAAGGGAATATTGATAACTCTTCTTTTCTTAAGGTGGAGATTTAATGTTGATGATTCAACAGTCAGTTTAAAGATGAATCCAGGTTCTTCATCAAAATACTTCTGGATAATTTTAGGGTAACTCTCAAGAATCTTAGAGAAACACAGAAAATTAGGGAAAAGACATTTCAGAACTGTCTGTGTTACATATTAGATCCGTTAAGTTTTGAGGATCCCCCAATTACGTTTCTTGTATTACCATATGTAAGGAAATTTCCCACAAATGGGAATAATCACAACAAAGTTTGGAGTCTCACTGATGTGGGCGAGCTTCAGCATTTTGATGGGAACTGACTTTGAAAGCCTGGATCAAGCACAAAGAGGAGTCTGGTCATGACCCAGGATGAGTAGTCCATTACAATACCTGCTAGTTATTTTAATGGGAGGATTCAGAACTACTTCAGGAAATAAGGCAAAATTTCAGATTAAAAGTATATCTAAATCAAAGTTAGGACACAAAAAGCAGCTAAGGCCAAAGTAGGGGGTTAACAGGTTTCAAAATCACACATCACAAGCTTATTTACAGTTAATCTTACAAAGGTTAGGCATTGATTATTTTCAATAAAATGCTAGTTCATCATTCCAGATGCCTAGAAAGGAAGGCATTAACTTTGGTCCAGAAACCTGCTGTGAAACAAAGCAGGGACTCTTCAATTATAATATTATATAACACTCTTGCTTTGAAAAGGACCTTAACAATTCTAATAAAAATCATTTCCCTCAAAATAAACAAATAACTAGTCATGACCATGAAGGACAAACAGAATGTTAACTAATGGATCTGATGCTTTATATTTCCTGCTGCTTCTGGGTTTTGGCAATAATTTGCTAAACTTGTGCACTGTAAAAATAAGAGTCTCAATGGCCATACTGTGCTATTTCAGTGTCCACTTACAGTGCTTTAACATCTATTTTATATCCTAACAGCAGAACAGAGCATATAAGCTTTTTAAAACATTGTTTGATTTTGTACTTCTAAAAGAATTACCCATCTTCATTTAAAGCTGTGATCAAAATACTACTTAATGAAAATGAAGCTTCTGATCGTGATTATAGAACTACAACTTAGAACAAAATTTAAATTTCATTTTCAATACCATGAATTAATACCAGGCATAATAGCTGAGCCTACAGAATACATTTGGAAACTAATAATGATATGGCTTGAAATCTTATACTTCCTGGTTGCTATGGTTTGAGCAAGATGTGGCTCCTCAACTCTGGCAGACATTTAAACCAAAAAGGCTTATGCTAATGGTTAATGGATTAATGTTAATGG